CGAAAATGCATCGCTTTTGAAGCAATTAGTGATGAGGTGAAAAATGAATTGTTTACGATGTTGAGCAGAAAAAGTCCTGAGATAAGCGAAATGAACTACCATTAGTCCTCAAAACCGGCAGAATTGGAAAGGAATCCTGTGTATGAACTCCTACCAAATGACCAGTCAGATAAATTCAAGTAAGTACTGCTCGCAATTGGACGAATTAAAGACAATGATTCAGGAAAAACGTCCAGAATTAGCTAACAGGTGTCGTGCTCCATCAGGATAATAATGTCAGACCTTACGTCTCTTTGATTATCTGATAAAAGTTGTTGGAGCTTGGCTACCTCATCCACCATACTCACCAGACATTGCATCTTCAAAATGTCACTTACTCAGGTCTTTGTAAAATTCTCTTAGCGGCAAGAACTTCAACTCTTTGGTCGACATAAAAAACCACTTTGAGAAGTTTTTCACCAAGAAATCTGAGAAGTTCTGGAAGGATGGAATCTTGAAGTTACATGAAAGATGGAGAAAAGTTGTAGAACAAAATGGTGAATACATAATTAAATAATTCGACATTGACAATAAAAATTGGTAATAAAAATGTTGCCTTTGAATTTTGCTTTAAAAATCGAAGCAGTAGTCTAACACATACACCTGATGGCATCTAAATGTAACAAGAGCCTAATCATATGTATCATATGTAATTATTAGATAATGTAATACGAATAATATGTATATATTCAACCTAACAAATTCATTCATGATATAAATAAATGACTAATATCTAATAAATAGCAGCCATTAATTAGGCTTGCTCTTTCATACTTTACCACATTTAAACAAGTTATAATCATTTTGAAATAACGATTGATAAATACATATTCCATAAGTGAAGATGTAAATGAATAAATGAACCAAAACAGTGTTTTGTGAACATTACTTTGATACCAGATACATGTACATTATAGAAATTTTTTAAGTAAGTATGTATCATGAAATGAAAGTGAGAGGGAGGAGGCAGTGAGAGAAAAACTTAACTTATCTCGAACTCAATTTTAATTTGATCAGAATTCATTCAGAAATAAATTTGAATTCAATTCTTCTAACCAAATCTCTCCCCAGCCTGTTTTCACTTTATATTATATATAAATACTTCTTTACTATAAATATATGTAATATAAAAATGCAAACTAATCGAGTACATTTATTTTGTTAATAACTTTTTAATAAATAATGTCCGTTAACTTTCACAACACTCATTCAAGATGATGTTTTTGATAATATGTTAAAAACTGATCGAAATTGGAGGGTGGTTTCTTTTTGTAAATACTTATCATATTTTCTTTTTCACCATTTTTCGACATTGCTCAAATATTTTCTAAGGAAAATCTTCTCATGCTTGATCAAAGCAGTACCACTTATACAAATCGATTTGATATGAATATTGAAAGTTTTATTTTATATCTCATATGTTATAATCTCATGTTTTTTATATACTGACATCGAATTTCTATTCTGTATACGCATCTTTAAGGGTTTAATACCATTTGTGCACAGTACTTACTCCTGTGCAGCAAAAACTCGAAATATTTCAATAATAATTTGATGAATTAATATAACCATTTATTGCCACTATTTAAAATCTATAAAAATCATTACTGAAGCTTAATTATTAAAGATGGGTTACTCAAAATGTCGAAATCTCGAAACCTCTCAAAATTCAAGAAAGTTTCGACTTTCGTGAATTTGACTCTGTATCATTTTCACGATTCAGAAAAAAAGTATAAAATTAATGAATAAAGGATCATTTGCAGCGTGAATGAAGAACGTTTGATTCATGTGTATTTTAGACTGTTCGAGATTTTTGTTTTTAAAATATTAACGCAAGTGTTAGCTATCATTGTCATTGTGTATGTTTTTGCTAAAATATATAATAAACTCATTACATGTATGTATGTATTTTCGACAGAATGGTTAAATTTAATGTTTTGAATTTTCGTATTAATTTAGAAATATATTTTCGCAAGATAATACCGTCTAAAAATATTCTGTGAAAATGAAATACGCGTCAATGGGTTTAGGTTAGGTTTAGGTTAGGTAGATACATATGCAAATCAAATGTGACAATATGAAATAAAATATTCGAATCTAAAGAAATTGTAAAGAAAAAAAAAAAGAATCACACTAGCATCAATATATACCATTGTTCATTATATTTCACTATTGTATTTATACTTTTGAAAAGCTTTTTAGGATACTATAGCCAGTACTACAGCCGACGAAAAACAAGTAAATTAGATTCAGAAAGGCTTCGAACATTAGTGTCTTTAAACAAACAATATCTGGATCAGATATTTTGTATTTTGTTTAATCATGGTTGATTTGAGAAATTTATATAAAAGTTTTAACTCTAGCTTTTAAAACAAGCAATTCTTCTTGCAAAATGAAATCAACATTTTTCAAGTTTCAAAAGTATCGCATTCCGATATCTCGCAAAGTTTCGGATTCGAGTTTCGAGAGTTAAGAAATTAATTTTGAACTCACCTCTACTAGTTATTATTACTGATATAATTTAAACCTATGAAAGAGATCAA